TTCGCAAAAATCAAAAACAAGATGTCACTAAGCTTAAGACAGGCTGTCGACCATTAACCAGTTCTGCTCAAAGACAAATGTAGTTTTATTGCGTATGTATATAACACGTTTATTGTTGCAGGCGAGTGGTATATAAATATACATGAGCACAGAAACAAAAGGAAATATTCAAAATCTGGCAAAGAACCACTCCCTGACAAGTATCAGAGAGAAAATTCATGACTTTTGCAGAAAGACTAAGAGAACGAATGTGGATGATCATCCTAGAAAGACGAACATATGCTTTCACACATGACAAGAGAACACAAGAAGATGTAGACGAAAAATACATATGATAACGTCACAACAAAGATACGAGGAAAGATGACATACACAAGCCATGACGCCCCTTACACGCTTTCTATATATCACACCTTTCTAACGACCATTCATCCAAATGCAGCCATGAGCATATAAATGTAACGGTTTAGTGATAAAGGACATATAATCAGCTTTATGATTTCTCTTGGAAACGATGATAAAAAAATAGCACGCAATTTCTCAGAGAAACTAAAACTACGGCTAAATCTAAAAAAAACATATTTCAGTTACATAAGTTATTTTTCTACATCCTTTTTATACGTCTAAATCCACACGATCTCTTCTATACATCCAAATCTACACCGCTTAATCTTTTACGGGATGTGGTGGTGGGTGTGGGGTGTGGGTGTGGGGTGTGGGTGTGGGTGTGGGTGTGGGTGTGGGTGTGGGTGTGGGTCTTCTCTTCACACCGACACACACATCCACACCCCGTACAAGATTAAGCCGTATAGATTAAACCGTACATATTTGGCCGTACACACTTAGCCGTACAGGATTTAGCCGTATATGATTGAGCCGTACACATTTACGTATAAGATTAAGCCATATAAGATTAAGCCGTATAGGATTACGCCGTACAGAATTACACCGTATAAGATTAAGTCGTATGAGATTAAGCAGTGTAGATTGAGAAGCATAGAAAAGGACTAACAAAACGTCTTAGAAAAGAATGTACTTTGTTTATGCACGAAAATAGGTGCATTGAATGAAGAATGTAGAGCATAGTTTTGTGCAGATCTTGTCGAAGTCAATTTCTGGAGATTGAAATTCGTTCCCCCGTAGGCGTATTCAATATTTTTCGAAATTACGCCGTACATGCAAGTTGCATACTACGCAGCGGAAAAGCTACAATCAACGTTAAATCCTGATTTCCTGATTTTTTTAAAATTTACTGTAGCGGTGTATTACGTAGTATGAAGTTGGTCATGAAGGCGTACGAGTTTTTTTTATCGTTTCCGATCAAAACGATAAACCGGATGGACTCATAAAGGATACGTGTAAGTTTCAAGTGACAAAAAAAAGACCAAAGTTTCGTGCTTCATCACATATCAAGACTGCGTCAAGGTTACCCTTGCTAACTTTTTAATGCCTCCAAGTTTACCCTACAAAACTGGCTTTAATTAGTGTGAATCAATACTATGTTCATCTTTCACACAATAACACTCAGATACCTAATTGTACTTCACCAACATTTCACTTCGAACCACAATGAACTTCTCGAGCTTTCAGAGGAACAGATTCATCAAGAAGAAAATTCAAGCTAATATGTCCGTCTTGGACACCAACCAAAGACTACCAATAGTTACCACGTTCTCCCGGATAACTTTCACCCATGCTTTAAATACAATGCAATAGCAAAAATTTTGTTTTTTTTGTTCCTCATATAAAGTCATAGCATGTGGTCAAAAGGAAATCAATATCGCGCTACTGTCAAAGAAGAACAATCATAAAAATATAGCTGCCTACAGCTAAATGTATACCGTGAAGGGTATAGGAATAAGGGTATCAGGTTAAGCATACAGGAATAAGGGTATCAGGTTAAGCATACAGGAATAAGGGTATTGGATTAAGGGTATGGGGTTAAGGAAATAATATTAAGAGTATAGTATTAAGGGTATCGGAATAAGGATATAGGCATAAGGGTATAGGGTTAAGAGTATAGGAATAATGATATAAAGTTAAGGATATAGTATTAAGGGTATAAAGTATAGGTTGAAGGTATAGGATTAAGGATACAGGCATAAAGGTTTAGGGTTAATGGTAAGGCGTTTAGGGTTAAGGAAATAGAGTTAAGGGTACAAAGGTAAGCGTAAAGGAATAAGAGTATAAAGTATGACGTCCTCAATCCATTAAAATGCATTTTTAACAATAATGTATGCAATTGCATTATGATGCAACCTAAATAATGTATTATAATGTATTAAAACCTCAATGCGTTGCAATGCATTACAAAATCAATGAATTATAATGCATTATTTAGGTTGCATTATAATGCCATTGCATTCATTAACTTTCTATGGCAAAATAATGCATTATAATGTACATTATTTCTAAAAATCGGCTACATGGGTACTATCTTGTATTTTAAAGTCATCGAATACTAGTCCAAAATGGATCTCAAATATAGTCGGTGTAGCACAAGTGGCTTACTAGACATTGAATTTGAAGTTCAAAATAGTATCATCAGAAAATACAAGTTGAATTACATATTCGGTAAAAAAATCTCGGTGGTGCACCCCTATAAAGTGAAAGCTCATAAAGTGAAAATAATAATTATTTGTACCAATATGACCCAATCGGGGTGGTATTCGGCGATTATCGCTTTGAAAAAATTCGAATCACTTAGTCCTTCATATAAATTCTGAGAAAAAAAATTCTGGGGCGAATGAGCTTTTTTTTCTGCATCAGATTTGGATTTTAATGGACTTTAAGGTCAAAGACTGTATTTTAGGGCTTCCAGAATATGATTCAGATGTTCCTTATTGTCCAAGAAACTTTTAAAAAAATGCGATATTTTTAATGAGCACATTGAACTCTATTGAACAAGAAGTGCTTTCACTAAAACGAAGACAAAAAATGTTTTTCGATTCCTGAGGGCCGGGGGGGGGGGGGCAGGTATGAAAAAATGAGTGGCTATGAAATATAAAATAAACATGCGAAAAATGATTAGGAATAGGGATGCACCAATTCCTAGAGCATGATATCAAAGAGATCAATGTTTTCTGTTAAAAGTGTAGCTGGCTTTCAATTGTTTGGATCAGTTACGACCAGGTTTTTTCGCTCTATCTGAAACTGTGATCAAAATTTCTGAAATCAAAAATAAAGGTAATAGAATTGGTCTGGAATCGGTTGAAAAGTGGAATTCTTGAACTTTTTTTGACCAATTTCAGCCAATTCCATAGCTTTTTTATTTGATTTCAGAAATTTTGATCATAGTGTCAGATATAGCAAAAAAAACTGAATAGAAGTGACATAAAGAATCATTGAATGCTCTACAGCTATGCAAAACTGAAGCTCTAGTACTTTATGCTGTACAAAGCAATTCTGACAAATTCCTTCAATTTCTAAATGAAAATCAGAATAGCTTTAGTCTTGTGAATTGCGAGATTTCCGATAATTCTTTATGTCAGTTGTAGTCAGTTTTGAATGCTCTTTCTGAATCCAGCGAGAGATTTGATCCAAAGGAAAACACAAGTCTCAAAATCAGTTGGAATCGGTCGTAATTGGCCAAAAAAAGTTCAAAAATTCCACTTTTCGACCAATTCCAGACCAATTTCATAACCTTTATTTTTGATTTCAGAAATTTGATCACAGTTTCAGATAGAGCGAAAAAAACTGGTCTTAACTGATGCAAACAATTGAACGTCAGCTACATTTTTAACAGAAAAAATTGTCCTCGTTGATATCATGCTCTAGGAATTGGTGCATCCCTAATTAGGAATAAATGATGATTTTCAGGATCATAAAATTAGGTTCAGATTTTTTGGGAAACTCAATCCATAATCTGACACATCGCTTTTCTCAAAATTGTCAAATCACTGAAAAAGTCACTTTTCAGCTTTTCCCCGTTGGGGGGGGGGATCCCGGAATCCCCTGTATTCCCAATATATCGCCTTTATCCTCTGTATCCCTAATGTGTCCTCGCGGCATTCCAGATACGAAAGATTCCTCACGGATCCCCGTATCTGGGATACGGCCAGGATCCGAAGGATATGACTGATACAACGGGGATACGATGAGGATCCAGAGAATAACGGGATACAGGGATCCGCTTTTCCCCTCTTGGATNTCAGAGCGTAAAAGAACTATGCAACAGTAGATGTCGCACAATTCAATTTCATAATTTTTGTCTATAACTCCGAAGTTTTAATTCATCAGAAGAAATTAATACCATAAATGTTCAATGTTAGTTTTTTTCTTTATTTATTATAAAAATGGGCTCTTAAAAATCAGTCTCACCAAAGTGCATTGGTGGAAAATATTTCGACATTGATTGGCAATTCCAGCTAAGCTTTTTTTCACCAGATCACGTACTAGAAAGTGATTCAAAGCTGTAACATCAATAAGAATAAGATGAAATGAAAGAAAGACTATTTCGTTCTTTTCCTGAACATGCTTGGGGCTTTGTTTTTTTTCTTCTTCTGTTGTCACTTTTAACTCTGTCAATAAAAAGATTTATCGCTTATGATTATTGTAAACAGAAATAAATCATTCTTTCGTCAATAAAGAAATTAAACAACGAAGTAAGAAATGTTTTAAATTAGAGTATGCTACTGCTTTGTCGGTTCAAAATGATGGAACACAGACACTATTAAGGAATGTATTAAGATTGACAGAATGGAAAAACACTGAAACTCATGTAGCAAATAGTTTTAAACAACTGAAAATGAGATCTAGAATATTTTTGCATTACATACCTGTAGCAATAGTGTATACTATTATAAAAAATAATTTTTTTATTGTGTTTTTGCCTTTTTTCTTCTGTTGTCGCACTCTTGTTTTTCTTTCAGAAAGATTGTTGCAAAGAGACTGAATAGGAATTATTTCCGAGAAAAAAGCAATAATAAAACAGTTCTATGGCGACCATGATTGTGGCTGATCGCTTTTTTGATACTGATCAAGAGCTTTTAAGAAGATCAATGGCGATCGAAGTTTACGGAAAAGAAGTGTTGATGACGCTTCAAGAAGCAGCCGAAAAACTTCAAGGATCGATTAAAAATATTAATGCATCGGTTTTAATGGCAAAAAGAAATATGTCTTATTCAGCAAACGGTTTGACTGTTGATGAGGCAGCAGCGATTTATCTTTATACTATCGAGCATAAGAAAGCTGATCGAAATGTTTCTTTTCAACTAAACAGAATACTTCGCTCTACTGAACGAAGTGAACTAATTACTTGGCTTCCGTATCTCCAGCTCTTACTTAATACTTTGAAAAAATTGCCATCAATGAGCGGTAAAATTTGGCGCTTCGCTCCAGGCAATCTGATGGATTCTTATCAAACTGATTGTGTCTGGTCTGGGTTTAGTTCGTGCACAAAAAGCTTATCAGTAGTAAAAGGTTTATTAAATAAATCCGATGTCTATACTATATTTCAAATTGAGTGTGTCAATGGCAAAGAGATTCAAAATTATTCCAGTCGACCAGACGAAGATGAAGTTTTGTTGTTGCCTAGTACATATTTACGAGTAAAAGATAAAAAAAGGTTAAAAAATGGATCATATTTAGTTGTTTTACAAGAAAGAGATTCTCAACATCTACATTCAACTGAAACTTTTGGATTTTCATCATCGATGCTTGAAATCAACAGAACAGATCAAGGCTTTACAGCGTCTGAAATTCAAGCAAATAATCAACCAAAATGTATGTAATTATTTAGTAAGATTGTTTTTGGATTAGTTTGTGTTTTCTATTGACAAAAGATTGGAGACTCAACATGAAATATGATTAGAAGATCGTATAGAGGAAAACAAGAAATAATCTAAAACATAAAATTTCAGAAACTAAACAATAAGTTGTCTCCATCCGTTGAGCACTACCTCAATTGATCATGGAAAAGGACTGTTGAACAAATACAAAATCTTCTAAATTCAACCTACTATTTGTAGTACTGTGGGACTCATTAATAAGATCCAAATTTTTTACATTTCTGTATGTAAAAATTTTCTGACTTTCAATAGCAGGCATACCGAAGCTATGAAATTCTGACACAATCATAGGTCTGTGAACAAAAGCTACAAAAGTAAAAGCTAGAATTTCATTGATGCTTCTGACAGGATTAAGTGACTAAACTTTTTGAGTTTTTTATGACGCTTATACCATGCTTCTCAACGAAAAAACACAGTGAGTATAAATGGAGGTTAGAGGACAAAAAGTATATGTTACCTAGCAACCGTAGACAACAGACTTGTGAATTATTTTACAGAATTTCTTAGTGGCTGAAAGAGGTACTCAGTGGCGTTAAAGGTAAGATATAGACTGTGCTAGAAACATGTAAACAACTACAAAATCTTGATGAAAACATGAACGGCAAACATAAATGTAACACTGCTCTTAATACTGCCGTTTTGGATGTTTTAGTAGATAACATGTAATGCTTCAGACATTAGAGAGGATAGAGTTCAAAAATTAAAAACAATGAGAGAATAACTATAAAAACAAATAAAAATAGAGGGTTTCTCCGATGGATAATTAACTTCAAATAATAACTATTGTTTTGGTAGAGATGTTTCATTTAACGTATTTTGTATTAGCGTAATACGGTGCAAAACCTTGTGTCATGTCTATGTTTAAGTCACAGTTGGGCTTCCCTAACAAACTTTTTTTCATTTAAAAGATACTTTTTTTCTTCGATAGAAAATAAGTTGCCTGTGGTCATTATAGCACCATCGATTTTTAGCTGCTCGTACCATCTTAGATGTTCGACATACTTTCTTGCTCTAAGAAGTATACTTGTGACTTTGCTATTGAGTTTCGAGAAATAAATAGAAGAGAAATGATATATTAGCTTCGATTTCTGTCCAAATAAAGACAATAAACGAAAGCTGTATGTTTTTTCAACGTGCAGTTAACATACATAATTGCTTACCATAAAATAGATTAAAATAGTGATTGTAGCGTGAAGAATAACGAGTTTTTATTCAAAGCATCGAATCGTAGTATTTGTGTCAGAGGTTCCCTCTTGTTTCTTTTTGTTTAGTTTTATTTCGAATGATGAGAGCCAGAAAAAAAGAATCAAAGAATGTGACTAAAGGGAACGAAAACAGAACCGAGAGAAAACAGACAATAACAGCTGCAGCGATGTGAAGGTATGTGAACAACATGCCTGTAACAATTTGTATTATAAAAGAAATAAAAAAGAGCCCTATATTTGTAATTATTAACTTCGTTTGGTTTACTGTTATGCGGACAAAAACATCTAAGTTTTGCATTGAATATTCCATTTGGCATTGATTTAGATATACATAATTCAACAGTGATCAGTAGTATGTTACTACAATATCGAACAGGTTAGCTAGAAAGATCTTCTATCAATTGAAACCTAGTCTGTTTTACTCTCGCAGAAAAAAAACTTCCTATCGAAGAGAATCAATCCACTAAAAAAGATAATAGATTTTCTCTTCTAGACAAACGTTGGCTTGATTGTCAATTTCATCAGAATAGTGGAAAATCAATAATGACTCCTAAAGATCTTCAAACTATAATGCAAGATCCTCCTGGAAATATCGACAACGCCATATTGAACTGTGTCCAAGGATCAATGATTGGTATGGCTTTGGGAGATGCGCTTGGTGCTCATGCAGAATTTCGACCTCGACAATATATGATGGAACATCCAGTGCGAGACCTTGAAGGAGGAGGAACATGGGGTCTTGCAAAAGGACAAGTAAAGTATTGTTTATTGATTAAAGATTCTTGGTTCTTTATCGACTAACATACGTAACTTGATGTCCAAGGCAAATTTTCTAACTATTGTAAAGTTTATTAGTTGTATGATATTAGAAAAACATCATTTACGTCAGATAGAGAACCTGATTTTTTAGTTTTACAATCGCATAACTATCGATATCATGTTTTCTATAAAAGACGAAGCTATAGATGTCAAGAAGTTTTAATGAAAAACTTGGCAGCAATCCTGTTGTCATAAAATCTACTCTGATGTAGTTGCAAATCTTAATTTTTATCATATGAAGACATTCATAATTTAAATCCACAACTGTCGCTCAAAATGCACATGAAGACTTTAGAAGTGTTTAGCTATCGAACACGACTGCAAGCATAGAAACAAGTGATTCATTTCATCTTTGTGCTTGTCTCCATCAGAAAAATATGTGCTAAAGAAATATGAAAAATTGATGAATCTTTTATTTTTCAAAGATTTATTCTATTTAGTTTACAGACGACACTTCTATGGCTCTTTGTCTAGCAAATTCTTTGGTGTCTTGTGGCGACTTTATTCCTTATGACCAGTTAGTTCGATATAAGTGGTGGTACAGAAGTGGCTATATGTCGTCGACTGGGCAATGCTTCGATATTGGTATGGCGACTCGTCAGTCGTTGCATGAATTTGAACGTCGTCAACAGCGATTTTCTAGAGAACATGATATTTCTATTCGACAAATAGACTTTCTCTCAGACCCAGAACTTCTTACAATATTCAAGGTAGATTGCAGCGAAGATGGCGTAGCAGGTAACGGAGCGTTAATGCGACTGGCGCCTGTACCGCTCTTCTTTCATAAATATCCTTCTTATGCTGTCGAATTTTCCGGTATTAGCGGTATTATTACTCATGGTGATCTGAAAGCCTATGACGCTTGTCGCTATTATGGTGCTTTAATCGTAGCTGCTTTGCGAGGCGAAACAAAAGAGCAATTGTTGAGTAATAGCTTTTATTATAACCATGCAACTTGGTTCAACAATAAACTACTCGTTCCAGAAGTCATGGCAATCGCTAAAGGATCATATAAGAAAAAAGGCGGATATAATGAAGGTATTCGAGGAAAAGGATACATTGTTAATGCGCTGGAAGCTGCTCTATGGGCTTTCTGGTGTGACGAAAATTCATTTGAAATAGGTGCTCTCAATGCAGTCAATCTTGGCGATGACACTGACACAACTGCTGCTATTTATGGCCAACTTGCTGGTGCTTATTACGGTTATAAAAATCTACCAAAAAAATGGGTCAAACACGTATATGCTCTCAGTTTTATTGAATGTTTATGCAAGTGGATTGTTTATGAAGGGCAGATGTGGCAACCAAAGTCTCATGCTTTGAATTCTCTCGAATCGAAGTCTAGATCTAATTCTGATGTTCTGATGGCTGCTCAATCTAAATATATTTCGAACTCGGTTCCAAATATGAATCAAGAATTTACACAAACACCAACTAACTCAGAGAATCAATTAGTCTCTAAGCTATCAAGATCATCGGTAAAAAGCGCGTACTCCACAACACAGGACATTTATGAAAAAGCTTCAACAACTCAGTCAAATGTGAGACCAAAATCTATCGCAAAGCCAGTACAAATTAGTCACAATGATATGATACGAACTGATTATTATGGAGCAGCAGGATTGGGACATAATCATGTTCAATCAACTCACGAGACAAACAATGGTCTTTACGGAAGATACCACGTTCGACATACAGACCAGAGTTGACCTCAATTAATTCTTATCAATTTAGTGCAGTACTATGGCTTGACATCAAGAAGTAACTGAAAATTGGCGTTTATTTTATGACATTTTTGGTTTACAGTTTTCTGTAACACAATTTTGTGCATACATAACGACCCTAAACAAGCTCAACTAACTGACGTAAACAAGTTTCATATTTTAGAATATTTGAGAAGATAAGATTGTACCAAATTGCTATTTAAATTGTCATATATCTATTACCAATTCTTAAATTTGATCCAACGCTATGTTCAATAGTGATTTTATAGGCATCGACTGTCATAAGTCTCATATAACTACGGCGTAGAGGTGTACCGCTCATGAGAGTGAGCGTTTCTGGCCTATCGAAAGCTCGAGCCTTGTTCACTTTTTTCAACTTTATTCCCCAAAAAATCGATATTGACGCTTTTCATGTCTGGAGTTCTCCTCAGGTATCCCACCAAAAATCTGCTCATCGTTCTATTTCAAATCATTAGATTTTCGATAGTCCTAAGTGTACTGAATCTAAATAGCATATAACTTTACGAAAGTACTTGAATAATAAGAAAATTATCTAGCATTCCATGAAAGCCTGAAAAACGAGTTTTTGACTCAAAAGCCAATTCAATTTCGGTTTATGTTCATAAAAAATATGTTGATTCAATGCAAAATTTATTTCTCTATCGGAATCTGTAAGAATGTATACAACATGTATTTGTTTACCTACTAATAAATGGTCAATGTCGCCCCAATTCGGTAATTTTTTGAGAAATAACGATTTTTCTCGTCTTAAGAAGTCGAATCTTTTTTCTTCTATATCATCATTAATTTATTTTGTGAATACGAAATTTTATACACTCTTACTCACTATATCATTTTTATCTTGATATTCGATCACTGCGGATTTACTTTTCTTATAAGTACTCTTAATCACAACAAATAACATGTTTTATACCAATATTTCACGATTTTCAAGCAAAAAAATAGTATGTTTTGTGGAACTCACATATATTTTCGAAGAAAATAGTGAGTATAAGTTTTATGGTCAAAGTTTCGCGGCTGTCTCTCTTCCCCTGTTCTTACACATATACATCCATCATTTCAGTTCATAGCAATGGAGAGAACATTACAGACAGATCTCCATCACAGACAGGCCTCCCATTAAAGACTTCAGCGAGTAGCTTTAAAGAGCGTTGGTGCGCATGTGAGTGGAACTCTTGCTGTACACTCCCTCGCACGCAGATCCATACCCATACCTAATCGTCATATCAGGATTACAGGAGAAAACAATGGATGTTGATTTGAAAACCATAATAAACCTCTGCAAAAAACTTGATTCGCATCAGATATTCGAAGCTCACTTACCTCAATTGGTTCCTCTTGATTATATCGAAGAAGTGTATATACCAAAGAATATATTCGTGTCACTGACTCCGATCGTTCATGAATCAGCGAAAAAATCTTTCGTGATGCGCTTCATATTACAGACCACGAAATCAATCTTACTGCTACTGGTGGTGGAGGCTCAATACCATCAGATAAGACTCATTCTGATGATCAAGATTTTGTTACAAATGCACTGATAGAAAAATGTGAGAAACGAAAGAAATGTGCAAGCCATTTTCGTGGTACTGTTCTTACTCTAGCACCAAACCAATTTACGGACCATACTACTTTGTCAATAATGACGGACGAAGCTCATGAACAATATCGTCGAACTCATAAAAAAAGTTCGAATTTTGATGACACATATTTATTAGGAAACAATGTACGGTGACATATTGGTTATTCTTTCCGATGAGCCAATTAATCCCGCTAAGAGTCAACCGTATATTCGATGCCTCATTTGTTATATTGCTGAGAGACCATCACTGATAACAACCAATTACTATGAATCATATTCATATTTAAATACTGGTGAACCATATCTGCATGGTGTCATTAAAATGAATGGTCAACATTCACGTAGTTCATGTTCATTTCATCGTGGATGCAGCATTGAAAATTATTTATCATATTGTCTGAAAATCGAAAAGACAGCAGGTCAAGCAGCGTTGTCACATGCGGGACCGAATAACATTTATCGTCATGAAACAATAACGTGCCAATTTTCGAAAACGACTCTTGATTTAAGCAAATTAAAATACGTTCATGTAAGTGGTGGTTCACAAAAAGTTACTATTCGAAACTTAATTATTAGTTGCGATCAAATCTTTGATTTATATCCATCATTTGATAGGGATCTTGAACGTGGAGGGAAGGCTTTTCCTCGCAAGAAAAGATCTCATAGCCGTGATCGATCACCGTCTATCAAAATTCCACAATTGCCTCGTGATAAATCTCCATCTATGATAAATAAAGCTGTGCGCTCTATTAGAACCTTTTTTGGTTACGATTCCGATGGTAAAAATATTGAAGCTTCTCCCTGTTCGATCAATTGTCTATTACAAAACTCAACGAAACATATCAAGGAATATTGTCACCCTTGTCCATATTCCGAACTTTGTAGCAATAAAGAGAAAGAATCTTACCTACCTCATGAAGCTCGCAAAGTAGAGCGATGCTCATCAAAGAATCGATGTCAAAAGCTTGAAGATCCTGTCCATCAAGCGAAATATCGACATTCAAGCTATCCTGACTTTCTTATTCCATGTCCTAATGGACAGAGTCGTCATAATAAAACATTGGACCATCGAACAAAATATTTACATGGTCAACAAGTAGAACTGACATGCGATGATATGAGTAAGTTATTCTCTTGTAATTTCAGCACAAATATCAAGTTTTTTGTTATAATATTTCTAATTAGATGAGACATCCAATAAATCATCATCAAAATCACGCTCTGGACATCAAGAAAAAGAGCATGATCGTGAACGAAGAAGTGATCAAAGAACTATGTGTCGACATGGTTCAGAGTGTCACGATCAAAATAACGCCCAACATTGTTCAAAATATTCACATACTCATGACCATGGACCTAAGCATTTGGCTTGTTCAAGTCATGAACGCATAGCTTGTCGTCACGGTATGAATTGTCGAGATGTAAAATGACCATCGGCATTGTTTGAAATATTTACATCCAGATGAAAGTGAATCTTCATCTTCGCCTAGTCGGAAACATGAACGAATAGTTTGTCGCCATGGACGCGATTACCGTGACAAAAACGATTCTCATCATTGTGCGAAGTATTCACATCAAGGCGATGAACGAGATCGTGGTCATAGAAATTATGATCATAACCGAATACCTTGCAAGTTTGGAGAAAAATGTCATGATACAGATCCTCATCATCGTTCTAAATATTCCCATCCAAATAAAAAATAAACAATTTGATCTTGTGATCTCTTAATCTTGATAATTGAATGTGAACATTTTAAGAAGAAATAAAGTTGTTCGACATGACTCTAGAAATAACACACGAACAGTGTATATTATATTAAACAATCTTGATCGCTATTGAAGTGTATTATTAGATTCATAATTGATAGTTGTAACTTGAGCAGATGATACCGATATTCATAAATACGTTGGAATATTAAAAGTTTTGAATGTTGATTTCTATGCTCATCAAACCCGTACTCACATTCACATTCATATCCACCTATACCCATATTCTAGTCTTAAATATGTTAGCCTGTAATTGACTCGCATCCAGTTGAGATGCATTTAAATAATCATGTTGATAGAGAAATCAGTTTATTCAACTACAGGTCATTCATCAAAAAGATCGAATAATTATTTATAGATATTAATTTTTTTACAATAGGGGATCACAGAAAAATGAAAAGTATCTAATTCAACTTACGCAACTAAAAATTACAGCTCCTTAATGTCTGATAAATAGCAGAAATTATTTTATTTTTAAACGAAACAATTATTGAACATATAGGAATTAGAAATTTCTGTTCCCTGAGTCTCTTTTTAATATTATTTTCATAAATATTTCTTACTATAGAGTGATGTTAAAACAAAGACGAGTTGCTGCTTCTGTTTCACTTAATATATGAATGTCAGCAATAAAACATATAATCAATTACTCTTTTTCTTTTATTTAATATGTCATGATCATTTAGTAGAATTAATCTTACTTACTCATATCTTTACATCATCTTCAATTCTATTCTCTCATGTAATGACTACAAAATAATCAGCTCAATATTATTCTAATTTATTTACACTTCAAACCAGTGAAGTTATCATAGATTTTTTTTAAATTCTCCGAATTGAAACTTTTAATTGCACTTCTTTTCAAGCTTATTCAAGCTAAAAAAATTGTAAGTCTTTGATGTATCATGGTCCAAATTCTTATTCTGGATCATATTAATGATATTTACACACAAAGATAATAAAATTTAAAAGTATGCTAATAAAACTTTCATAACGATAACATAATATTAACCTCTATTTTGTCTTATCAATTACAACTTGATTTATATAATTAAAAAATGATTACAATGAGCTTCTTGAATATTCTTCTAATTAAGAAATATCAATAACAATGGACAAGAAAGGTTAGAAAGAAAATATTTTCACTAACAAATTTTTGTTTTTCTTTTTTTTATGCATACTTCTGTACTTCTTGTACATCCTCATATTTTGCATATTTTCCCGTATTTTCCTATATTCCTTTTAAATTTTATAGAAAAATGAGTACTTAGTTTGTACTTAGGCGTTTGACGCTTCCAGAAACATAAGCTGATCACCATAAGGCTTCGAGAACTATCCTATAGGTATACTCGTCAAAAAGTGCATGTGAGACATTAATTTTATCCGCATTCCATATTCATACTTTTTCCAAATTCAGTTATGAGGCTACTTTTCACAATGTAATTAACAAGACTGTAAAGCAAAGATAGAGCATAGATCGAAGCATTGCAAAAATAGATTGTTTATTTTAAAAAAATGAAGATAAAATTCAGAAGTAAATGCAGAAAACGATCAGATTATCCTCATTTATCTTGAATGGTACGGAACGTAAGATTGATTCGAGGTTCTATTATCTTCTTCTCTTTCGGTACGGAATGTTTCCAATATTGTTGTGTGCCATCTAGCATCACAATTAATGATCCATTATTCAACGAAAATTCATACTGTAAAAGAGAAATAAAGAATGAAAAGGGAGTTCAAAGAATAAGAAATTCGAAGATCCATAGAAGATAGGAATTCAAACAAATTACCTCTTTCTGATCGGGCATCGTCAAAGGTTTCCTCTTTCGTGTAAGATCTTTACCGAAACAACTGAGATGTCGTACGAGAAATCTAAAAAATAATACATATTAGTAATATATGTGAAGAAAATAGCAAACAGAAACCAGAAAATGTACCTGCGTGTGGCACCCAAAGAGATGGAAGCAATAATATCTTTTGCTTCATTGTCAGCATGAAAATTGATGTAGTCATTTCCGTTTCTGTATAAATTGACTAAACAATAATCGAACTTCACTCCTACAGAATAAAAAGCATTCCTAATAGTCATATTTCTGATTTTCTCTTCTATTTTTGTTGATCAGAATTTATACTTACCGAGTTGCTTCTCAAGTTCAGCTTTCAACTTTTGCATCGGAGGAGTCCAAATATGCTGCTTCTGCTTCTGATATAGATCCTTTACAATCAATCCTTCTTCTGCAAACCACGATTGAAGACGAGGCTACAATGTCAATACAAAAGTGACAGGAATTTCAATAACTGCTATCGAGTTTTCTTTCAATTTCTGTGTCTTACTTCTCATTTACTTACTAGATTCACCGGTTTTCCATACATAGAAATAGAAGTATGCTCAAAATTTAATTCTAAAAACAAATAAAGATTTATAAAAGCACTTATTTTCTTTTCTTGTTGCTCCTGTATTAATAAGTAAGTACCTTTCATCAAATGATCGAATAGAACTTCACCTTCTTCCTTAGATATATAATTAGGACACCATTTCAATGTTGACTCAAGGTCAATCTTTATTTCTTCCAACTTTGGTGTTTCTTTGAATGCGAGCCTAAATTTTGAGTAATAAAATAAAAGCCAATATCAAACTAACTATCTATGACAGTTACCATTTATCGTTCCACATCAACTTTTTCTTAGTAGCAATTGCATCTTTCTTTGAGTCTTCATTATTTGATAGAGATATGCTTGCAGTCAAGTCCGTATCAACGCTTTCCTTCGGATTCTTCTGCACTTCGTCGCTGTCTTTTTTAGACTCTTCCTTTGTTCGTTTGCTTAGCACTATGGTAGTTTCACTACTCAAAGAACATCTTTTCGATGAAGATGAACTTGAAATTTTCTGTATGTACATCGAAGCTTGATTCTTCTTGTACGTCTCGTCCATAATGTTCTCGGATTGTGCAATCTGAATAGAATTGGTGATGAGATCGCATAAAATATATCTTACACAAAAAATACTGAGAAAACAATATGAAGAGAGTAATCTGAAAATAAAGTCAAAGACAGTAGTATGATTTTGCTAGAAATAGATTTTTGGTAAACAACAAAAATGAAAGAATTTCAGTTCAAAAATATAGAAGAAGCGAACTGATCAATATTTGAGGAATTCTTTTTACCGTCTTTGGAGTACTTTCCTCATGAATAAATAAAAGCCTTATGTTTGTCTTTTGTGTTTGTCAGCAAAATAATATGCTGTACACTTATAATAGATCTTCATTTTCTTCCACATTGTTCTCTTATGATAAAAGAAAAAAATAATGAGCATGCTGATTAAGTTTTACTTAGTTTGATAAGTTCTATTTAGTGACATGCCTTACGGATCCAAGTTTAACACCATGCATTTAAAAAGGATCATAAATATGAGTGTTGAAGCTCATATTACCCACGTTCATGATGAAAGGTAGATCTTTTGTAAGTCGGAACTTGAGGATGATAAAAACACAAATGAGACTTATCAAGCTAGTATCATTTGACATCTTCTCTTTTCTAACAAATCCAGTGTTTTTTTCACTGACATATGAGTTATCTTGCATAGTTTGTTTGGACTATAAGTTGTAAATGTGAAATTTCTTGAGATGATATCTTATAGCTTTCAAGTCTTACAGAACATTATATAAGGAGTCCTTTAAAATGTTGTTATTAAAAATCAAAATCATGGCGTTCATGACTACTTATGACAATACAAAAAGTACGAATAAGATGAGTCGTATGAATGTATTCGTTTATGTAGAGTAGTAGTTCATTAATTAATGTTTCTAAATCCATTTCTCTTCTACACACTGAATTAAACATTTAAAGCTATAAAAACCGACTTAAATATAATCAAGTTGTACACCTATGTGCTCTAAAATATAAAGAATGGCTATAGTATATTTATATTTCAAGTTTTACACTGTATTTCATCAGTATTATGAAATAAGACAAAGTAGAAAACAGAAAAGAAAAGCACATGTTGATCACGTCACTATTTATATACCTGTCTGATGTTTCACAATTTTGAATGAGTTTACCTAAATATGATGAAATATGCTACTTCGTTTATATTTTGACACAACGATGCGAAATAAATTAATTTTCAACAAAAAGATATCAATTTTATCGAGGATGTAGATGTGAATGAATTACGAATGTACATGAAAAGAAGATGCAAAACCACACCATCGAGTTCTAGATGTCGCTAAATTATATGTTGAAGTCCGTAACTGATGCTAAAGTGTTGTTGATCAATATTTTCTGTGCGTGCCTAATATTTGAGAATGAAACTTTCAGAATTAATACTAAGACTATGGTACTATATAATGATAAGAAACGATCTTTCGATATTATTATCTGGAACTTAACAGAGAACTCATTGATGAAAATATCTTATATATTTTGTTTTTTTGAGCAATCTGAATGTTTGATTATCAATAATTAAGTGTACAGACCTTACTTTATTGAAATTAATTGTTTGATTCTTTACTTTCTTTTATGAAAATCGAGTTTTTTTATTCATTCTTGTTTGAAGAAAATTACAATTCTATACTGAACAAAAATACATTTGAAGTTCAATTTTATTCGATAGTCTTTAAAAATCAACAATTTATAGAAGTGTATACATATCAGAATACAATCGTATATAGTGCATTACATAGAGATTTGTGGATGGTATAAATCATGCTTTTTCTTTAAGTGCGTTTTGATTGCTCACTCAAATGTCTCCTTCTTCTTCTTGAAGTAGCTATTGTAAAAACCATAAAAACTTGTTTAAAGCAGCTACAGAATATGTTGATATGCTTGTTTTTTTCTTTATGCAGAAATAAAAATTGTGTTAGACTTCTGCCGGTCTCTCATTAGATTGAAATATTTCTAAAAAACAAAGTGATTTATATTTGTAACATGAACATTACATATTGATGTAATTAATTAATACAAAAATCGATCACATTCTTGACTTTTTTCTTCTTGCGTCTTTTCCATTGAGTCATATTCGGTCATTGAAGCGTAACACTCGTCAAACTTTATATAACTCATCGCATAATACAAGAGAACGAAGGCTAATTATGGCAATGAGTAACGATGAAATATATGAAGGTATATGTGACATTGATTTATGGGATCCATTTAATTGTCATTTGAGATCTTATGCATCATCTCCATTACAATTACGCTATGCTAGTTCAAAAGGTTCAATTATTGGACGAGCATTACGTCAGGGTGTTATTGATTTACTTGATAGTGTAACAAAAAAGTTAAATGAACAAATAGAAAATAATACAACTGTTATTGGAACTGAACATCGTTTATATCATTCACGTAATTATTCATTAAAAATTGAAGAAAATAATATTGAATCTTCCTTATTAAATGATAATGATAATAAAATTGATATTGAAATAAGTTCATTAGCACCAACTGTTTTTTATCAATTACGTGAAGATATCGGTATATCAAATGAAAATTTTCGTCAATCATTTTCGAAAAATTCTTTAAAAGATTTTACAAATCCTGGTAAAAGTGGTTCATTAATGTATAAAACATATGATGAACTATTTATTCTTAAAACTTTACGTGATTATGAAGCAAATTTATTAATACAAATTTTATCTGGTTATCATTTACAATTAACACAACGTTTAACAATATTTAATCGTTATATTGGATTATATCGTATACGTTTACAAGAATCATTATCAACTACTGAAATATATGTTGTTATTATGGTTAATGTATTTACACCATCATTAAAAATTAATGAAATATTTGATTTAAAAGGTTCAAAAATAAAAAGAAAATTCATTGGAGGTTTATCATCTGAAAAATTTTATAAATTAAAAGATATGGATTTTAAAGATTTATATCCAGTTGGTATACGAATACCAACAAATATATATGAACAATTAAAAATCATTATAACTAATGATACAAAAGTTTTGAAAAAACTTAATATAATTGATTTTTCATTAGTTCTTGGCATAAGACATTTAGATATGTCTGAAGAAGAAATGATGCATCGTCAACCAATGGGAGGAATTTCATCTCTTGTTCATTTGAATGATAGTCTTGGATTTATTACAATGGCAAAATTTTTTCCAAATATACAATCATTAAATTCAACAAAGGATCTAACATCTTTTCTATATCCATATATAAAACCATTAGATATGCTTCAAAAAACAATTGATATGAATTTATATTATAATAATGATTCTATTGCTCATGCAACATTACCTATTCCTGGTATTATAAATAAAAGAAATCAACGTGTTTATATATATTTAGCTCTTGTTGATATGCTTCAACCTTATGATAGCTGTAAATTAATTAATCAAACATTTCGAAAAATTACGGATCCTAGGAGACATCTTGAATATTCTATTATTCATCCAGATGATTATGAAAAACGTATTAATCAATTTTTATTTGAACATGTTTTTATTGATGCTAAAGATGATTTTCCATGGATGGTAACTAATTCGATTAAACCTGTTGCTGATCTTAATAATAATAGATATATTAAAAAGAAAAACCCTGATCAACAAAAAACTTCTCTTCGTAAACGACATCATTCTCTTCAACGAGAAATTTCAAATACTGTTCTGGAATTTCGTTTGTGAAACTTTTTCTTTTTGTATGATTCATGAACAGTATTTATTTCTTCAAAAAAGCTTTCAATTATGCACCTATAAATTCATTCGTTTATTATTCATGTAGTGAACAACAATACAGTAATCTATATGTTCTTTAATATGGTTGAGTAAATTTGTAGAAAATTCTGTATCAGAGTATTTTCAATAGTCTCATTCAATATCCAATATTTTGATGCTTTAATATTTTGCAACTTTGCTTAAAACAATTTTTTTATTAGTTAATCAAGCATTTAGAATTGTATGGTTTTCAAATACTGAATTATTAATCAAATGTTCGAACGTATCTAACTAATGAAAAGTATTTGTTTCATGATGCTCTAAACATATTATTAGGATATCGATTACTGTATACTTTTTTTAATAGGATTATGTCTTTTTACGTATTTATTGTTTGAATTTTTGGCAGATGTTATTTGATTTCACATGGACAGTAAAGTTTTTGTTTCATATTAGTTTATTTTTGAACGAAATACCTGCTTAAGGTTCGAAATCAACTCTATTTCTTTGATTCTTTTTTTTAATCACTTTGACAATAATACTTGTCACAGAAATCTGAAATAAAAGCTCACCAAAACAAAGAATTAATTCTCCTATAAATTCAAGTAATGCTCTAAGTTTCTTCGAAAAAATATTTAAACTAGAAATACAAAGAGAAACATTCTAGTTTTAAATTACATGCTCTATTTATGTTTATTGATAAATATAACATAGATAAACATTTTTATAGATGATTTTTGTTTTTGTTTTGGTAATCTCATGACCTTGTTACATTGTTAACTATAATTTTAGATATTCTAATCTAATTAGAAAGTGAATTTTACTACTCTAGTACAATGTACATTTTTCTTTATCGAAATTTTTTTCAATCGTATTTAATTTTAAAATTTGTGAATAAATCAATTTTTATTTTGGACATCGAATGACAATAGGTCCTCTTTTTCTTCTCTACAAAAAAAGGAAGCAAAACAGAAAGTAAATGAAATTCTCTCTTCTTTCTATTCACTGTATTACTAAAATCAACACTATAACCCATGTAGCCAATAATGGATAAATAATGGAAAAATGATTCATTATTTTCCATTATTTTGCAAAAATGTCAAATAATAAATTATAATCCATTATTTTTCGGAATTTCAATGCATTTCAATGCATTATTTGGAAGTAATGCTATAATGAAGTATAATGCATTAATATTCAATGCATTATAATGCATCATTAGAAAAAATCTGAAAAAATTAAAAATTCAATAAATTTTCAATGCATTTTAATGCATTATTTGCGAATAATGTACAAATGGCAAACAATGCATTGAAAAGCAATGCATTGCAATGCATTATCGAGGGAAAATGTTCTAATGACTGATAATGCATTGGCGATCAATGCATTTCAATGCATTATCGGAAATGACGTAGAAATGCTTCAAAACGTAGTGAATTTTCAATGCATTTCAATGCATTATCGGAAATGACGTAGAAATGCTTCAAAACGTAGTGAATTTTCAATGCATTTCAATGCATGATCCAGAAATAGTGTTTTAATGACCAATACTGCATTGGAGATAAATGCATTTCAATGCATTTTCCTAAAATAATGTTCTAATCCCGAATAATGAATTGAAAATAAATGCATTATCATGCATTAAGAGAAATAATGTTGAAATGTTTGAAAATTTAGTAAATTTCCAACGCATTTTCAGAAATAACTCATCAATGTGCCACAATTCAGTAGACCTTCAACGTATGTTAACGCATTTTTATACATTATTAGAAATAATGCTTAAATATTTCCTAATGCAGTCAAACCTATATGTAGTTCCAGAGAACATGTCCAGAAGTTTCATAATTCAGTAAGACTGTAATGGATTATGATTCATAACTTAGAATTTTGATCTCTTAACTTTAGCAGTGCACAATGCACGGAAAGGAGATTGCAGTAAGATCGTTCGTAAAATTAAACACAAGATGTCACAAAGCTTAAGACAGGCTGTCGACAATTCACCAGTTCTGCTTAAAGACAAATGTAGTTTTATTGCGTATGCAATACACGTTTATTGTTGCAGGCGAGTGGTATATAAATATACATGAGCACAGAAACAAAAGGAAATATCCAGAAGCTGGTAAAGAACCAAGAACTCCCTGAAAAGTACCAGAGAGTACATTCATGATCTATGCAGAAAGACTAACGAGGGAACATTCCCAACTGTTAATCGTCGATCGAAGTAATATTTTGCCCACAAGTAGGACTCAGTGAGACTAGAAAAAGCCTAAAAGGATTTGTCTCCATAGGCCTTCCTTCTGGAGTTATGACCATTTTACGGACTTTCCGGCTTATGGCAAGCTATTCATAGAAAATTGAAAAAGAAGGAATTGCTACCTGAAGTTTTGCCCATAAGTAGGTCTTATGATCTTTAAGACATCCTGAAAGCGTCAGTCAAAACGGATGGTTCCTTCTTGAGACATTGAAAATTCAAAAAACGATCAGATGTCACAAAAAAGGTCATAAAAACGACTTTTCTTTAGTATCCTATATCTTGAGAAGGAAGCATCCATTTTGACTGAAACTTTCAGGATGTCATAAAGATCATAAGACCTACTTATGGGCAAAACTTCAGATGGCAATTCCTTCTTTTTGGCTTTTTTATGAATAGCTTGCCTTAAGCCGAAAAGTTCGTAAATTGGTCATAACTTCAGAAGGATGGCATATGGGGACGAATCCTTTTAGGCTTTTCCTAGTCTCATTGAGTACTGCTTATGGGCAAAATATCACTTGGATCGGCGATTAATAGTTGGGAATGTTCCCTCGTAAGAGAACGAATGTAGATGATCATCCTAGAAAGGCGAACATATGCTTTCACGCATGACAACAGAACACAAGAAGATGTAGATGAAAAACACATACGACAACGTCACAACAATGATACGAGGAAAGATGACATACACAAGCAATGACACCCCTTAACCGCTTTCTATATATCACACACTTTTAACGAACATTCATCCAAATGCAGCTATGAACATATAAATCTAATGGTTTAGTGATAACGGATCCGTGCAAGTTTCAAGTGACGAAGAAAAGACGAAAGTTTCGTGCTTCATCACATCTCAAAACTGCGCCAAGGTTATCCTGGCTAACTTTTTAATGCCTCCAAGTTTACCATGCAAAACTTGCTTCAATTAGTTTGAATCAATCCTATGTTCATCTTTCACACAATAACACTCAGATACTTAATTGACCTTCGCCAACATTCCACTTCGAACCACAATGAACTTCTCGAGCTTTACGGAGAAGCAAATTCATCAAGAAGAAAATTCAAGCCAATATGTTCGCCATGCACACCAACCAAAGACTACCAATAGTTACGACGTTCTCCTGGATAACTTTCACTCATGCTTTAAATACAATGCAATAGCAAAACTTTTGTTTTTTTTTGTTCCTCACATAAAGTCATAGCATGTGGTCAAAAGGAAATCAATATCAGGCTACAGTCAAAGAAGAACAATCATAAAAATATAGCTGCCTACAGCTAAAGGTATATTGTGAAGGGTATAAGAATAAGGGTATAAGGCTAAGCATATAGGAATAAGGATATTCGGTTAAGGAAAAAGTATTAAGGGTATAGAAATAAGGATATAGGCATAACGGTATAAGGTTAAGGATCTACGAATAATGGTATAGGGTTAAGGGTATAGGAATAATGGTATAGGGTTAAGGGTATAGGAATAATGGTATAGGGTTAAGGGTATAGGAATAATGATATAAGGTTAAGGATATAGTATTAAGGGCACAGTATTAAGGGTATAGGAATAAGGATATAGGTATAAGGGTATAGGGGTAAGGGTATAGTATTAAAGGTATAGTATTAAGGATATAGTTATAACGTTATAGAAATAAGGATATAGGCATAAGGGTATAAGGTTAAGGATCTAGGAGTAATGGTATAGGAATAATGATATAAGGTTAAGGACATAGTATGAAGGATATAGGCATAAGGATATAGGGTTAAGGATATAGGGGTAAGGGTATAGTATTAAGGATATAGGTATAAGGGTATAAGGTTAAGGATGTAGGAATAATGGTATAGGAATAATGATATAAGGTTAAGGACATAGTATTAAGGGTACAGTATTAAGGATATAGTCATAAGGTTATAGGAATAAGGATATAAGCATAAGGGTATAGGGTTAAGGATATAGGGGTAAGGGTATAGTATTAAGGGTATAGTATTAAGGATATAGTATTAAGGATATAGGCATAAGGGTATAAGGTTCAGGATATAGTATTAAGGGTATAGGAGTAAGGATATAGGCATAAGGGTATAGGGTTAAGGATATAGGGTTAACGATATAGTATTAAGGGTATAGAAATAAGGATATAGGCATAAAGGTTTAGGGTTAAGGAAATATAGTTAAGGGTACGAAGGTAAGCGTAAAGGGTTAAGAGTATAAATTATGACGTTCTGAATCCATTAAAATGCATTTTTAACAATAATGTATGCAATTAGATTATAATGCAATCTAAATAATGTATTATAATGTATTAAAACCTCAATGCATTGCAATGCATTACAAAATCAATGAATTATAATGCATTATTTAGGTTGCATTATAATGCCATTGCATTCATTGACTTTCTATGGCAAAATAATGCATTATAATGTACATTATTTGTAAAAATTGGCTACATGGGTAGACATGAAAGTGTTAGCACAAAATATTTGTTCATCTTTCAGCCATTAAAATAAAACTGGTTAGAATCAGAATTGTTTTGGTTTTTCTGAATATATCTACAGCTTTTTCTTTTGCAATAAAATTGAACAACTATCAATAAACTTTCTGAAGAAGTCCAAAACGATGTTTATACAAAACAAAAGAACGGTTTTGGTGCAGTCCTTGGTTTGTGTCTTCGAACAGTTTTAACTGAACATAATTGTAGAGTACTGAATTCTATACCAAATGAGATATTACAGT